TTTTAGATTCGAGATATTTTAGATTCGACTTGTGTTAAAAAAGGTAGAGGTAGACCTAGGAAGACTTGGGCTTATTGTATAAAAAATGATCTTAATTTACTAGAATTAAATGAAAATATGAGACTATATTGGAAGCAATGGAGAAAAAGGATTCATGTAGCCGACCCCACGTAGTGGGATTAAGGCTTTGTTGTTGTTGTTGTTGTTGTTGTAGAAAAAGCTTACAATAAGGTTCTAAGAGATACATGTGAAAGTTTTTTTGGAGAGTTCTATAAAAGAAAGGTGTTGATATGACATATATTCAAGTCATTACGGATATATATACTAGAGTTGTTACTTGTGTTTGAACAGAAGGAGGATTGACCAAGTATTTTCCTATTTCAGTTGGATTACATCTGGTTTACATTTTGGTTTACATTAGGGATCGGCTTTAAGCCCATATCGTTTTGCTTTAATTATGGATGGTCTTACTGAACGCTTAGAGGAGGATGTACTTTCGTGTATGTTTTTTGCTGATGATATTCTTCTAGTGGATAGTACGGGAGAAAAAGCTCAGGAAAAACTCGAATTATGGAGGGCTGCCTTGGAGTCTAAATGCCTTCGTTTGAGTAGAACTAAAAATGAATACATGGAATGTAATTTTTGTAGTAGCTCTAGTGACAGAAATGTAACTATGGGTGATCAATTTATTAAAGGTGTGAACGCTTTAGATATCTCGGGTCTATTGTTCAAAGTGATGGTGATATTGATGGAAATGTTATTAGTAGAATTCAAGTTGGTTGGTTGGAGAAATGCTTCGGGTCTATTGTGTGATAGAAAAGTACCGCTTAGGATGAAAGGAAAATTTTATAAGACGGTGGTGAGACCTGCAGTGCTCTATAACATTGAATGTTGGCTTTTAAAAGAGAAGCATAAAACTAAGTGAAGTGTTGTCGTGATGAGAATGATTAAGTGGATGAGTGACTTTACACTTGGAGACAAAATGCAAAATGAATTTATCCATGATAGGGTTGGTGTAGCTCCAATGACAGAAAAAATTAGAGAGAGTCATCTTAGATGGTTTGGTCACATTAAACGTCTACCATCTGATTGTCTGATTAGAAGAGTAGATGTTTTAGATTCAACTTATGTTAAGAAAGGCAGAAAGAAAGGCAGAGGTAGATTGTTAAGAAAGGCAGAGGTAGATTTAGGAAGACTTGGGCATATTGTATAAAAAATGAT